GAAGCAGGACTTTTCGTTTTTGTTCTTTACACGTTTCTATTTTCTGACTCATAATGATATTCACATATTTTATAATTAAAGCATTAAAGACCAGTTAAATGAAGGGAAAGAATTATTTAAAGTTCATGGGCTAGTTTGATTACTATACTATCTTCAGTACACAGTTTATCTCTCCTGTTGTTTCTACCTCACATTCATGTTTTGTTTCATATCTCTTGTTCTTGTGATCTTCTAAGCAGAACTTGTACATCTACCCCAGGATATTTTTTTCTCATTCTGCTCCTTAAATAGGCTCTGTGAGTGCTTATAGGTGTGCAAAGGTCTTCTGTTCATCCCCAGTTACATGAAACTGACTCAGTAATACCTGTTTAGATGGCTCTGTAGCACATACTGTCAAGCAGCAAGCGGAGACTGAGGAAATATTTGTTGCCTGCCTGCATGTGTGTGTGAATGTGAGAAGGATTACTAGCTCACCTAAGCCTCATGGGGGTGAAGTACAGGTCTGTGAAGCTATGTGAAATACAGGAAGAACTCCTACAGAAGGTTCCTAAGACTCACTGAGGTTTTGTTTCCAAATGTTTTATAATAAGAATTATTCTAAGTCAGAATAATGTGAACCTGAGCCGCTTATGCATAGTAAATAAACACCTGTACTACTGTAGTACTTCTCAGGATCACCAGGGGTGCTTTTAAGAAGCACAGATTCTAGGATCCCACTCCAGACACATTGAAGTACAAAGTCCAAGTCTTGAGTCCAGTCATTTCTAAGAAGCACCACAGATGATTCATTCTCATGGTGCCAGACCCACACGGGCCTTCCTACCGGCCTTTGGAAATTACTGTCCTACAGAACCCAGGATGGCAAAGACCAAGCCTTTCCCTAATAAACCACCACAGATAAGTGAGATTTAATATCTTTTCACTTGGGTATTGCTCATGAGAAGCAGTCAAGTGTAGGGACGAGAAGCGTGGACTCTGGAACCGTCCTGCCTGGGTCTGATCTTGGCTTTGACACTTATAACTGTATGACCTTGAGCAAGTTACTTTTACAAATTGGACATTATAATAGTCCCCTCCCGAGGTTGTCATGAAGGTAATATATGTCATGTGACTGCAACAGGGCTTGACACGTAATAAGCACCATGTAAACCCTAAGCTGCTATTTTTGTTATTCTTTTTTTATTATTACTATTAACGGGGCTTCTCTCTCTGTGAATTACATGTTTCTACCTTCTGCCCCTTTTTCTATTGGGTTGTCTCTTTCTAAATTGATTTATTAGAACTTTATATATTTTTCACATTAATCCTTTTATTATTTTTCCTTCGGTTATAGACATTTTTGTGGGTTTTTGATCTTATAGTGTCTCATCATTGATTTTCATGCATAAATACAAATGTACATAGTTATAAACTACAAATGAAATAATATACTTTAGTGTTTGATATAAATATGAAATATGACATACCTTCCCTTTCTTGCTATTAGCTGATGTACATAAACCAACATAACAACTGTTTCTGAACCCTCTCTTCAATACTAGAATCCAAAGTTGCTTGTATCATTAAGAAATACACAAGTCTAAACAGGCAGAAACAAAATCATTTGTTCACAATCAGGTGGCCTTTGGGGCCACATTTGACCTGCAGTTGTTTTTGTTTGTTTTTGGCCAGGCAGTGGTGGCTCACAGTATTTCAAACATTTTTAAATTAATTGCCAGTCTATTCCACACTGAAAGCGTTTAGCATTTTGGTGATACCTATGAAAACAGGACATCTGGCAATGCTGGCCTGTGTCCCCAGGGGGCAGCGGTGGCCTAGAGCTGAGTCGCAGATGACCCCTTTACTCGGAAGGTCACTCTCAAGTTTGTGAAAATCCCCTCTGCTCTCTCTGGTCTCTTCAACACTGACCGGAGTGGTGGTTGTCATTTGTCACTGAGCCCGAGCTCCTGTTGCCCTCACGCCAGGCCCACTCCACCGCCTACATCACCTGTCTACACTCTGCAGTCAGGTGAGTTTGCACGTTGGCTAACAGGAGGTGAGAGAAGGCCAAACTGCCCCCTCCACTCTCAGCAAGGCGGAAAGCACCAGGGTCTGTACCTGGTATTTTCTTCAGTGAGGTGAAGGTACCTTCCTCATTATGACAGTTTCACTTTAAAATCTGTAGTGTAACATTTCTGTTCGAATGTTTTCATGTGTCCTGTCATGGTGCAAAGGTGGCAGGTATGGGTACCCAGGTAGAGAAAGATATTTAACACCCACAGCTCTGGGGTGTGATGAGTGGTAAGTGGCCAACTCATAAGCTCCTAAAAGTCTAAGTTCATGTTTTAGCTGATTCTTTCTTGAACACTAAAAACTGTAGTATTCTTTTCTAATTATCAGAAAAGCCTTGTAGGAATTGTCCTTTGCAATTCAGGGCTATTCAAATGAGCCAACAGATACACATTTCACTCTGGCTTTTCCTATATTTTTGTCCTTTCAAAAAGGTCGTTTTGTTTTTTTATTAATGAATCGCCACGAGCAGATTTCCAATATGCCAAGGCCCATGCCTTTCCTTCCTTGACTTCCTCACAGGGCAGCTGCTCTTCCAGTACCCCTGCCTGTTCTCAAACTAGACAAAATTAATACTATTAATGGGGATTAACATGATCAGTGGTATGGGGACCCTTTTATACTCTGGGCCTAGGTAGCTCCTAGATCTGACAAGAATAGGCTCTTCCCGTCTCTCACCTTCCCCTCCCCCCACTAAGGTTCTGAAAAAGCGGAGATGCTCAGATGAATCCTTGAGAATTCTTTCTGCTCTTCCTCAACAACCCTTGGCCTCTTCCTCTGTACTTTTGGAATTGATTGCCTACATTGAGACACTATTCTCTTGTATATATTGCTTTATGTTGTATTAATTGGGTAAGCTAGTTGCTAAAATTCTGTAATAGCTTGAGTACTATATGTATGTTTTTTTCTTGCTCATTTAAGATCTGGGTGAACAGGTTTGAGAGGAGGTCCCCTCCACTCAGATATCCAGGCACCAAAATCGGTATAGGCTCTCCCATCTTCAATACACGGCTTTCACGTTTGCCCTGGAGGTTGTCTCTCTTCCGTCAGCCAGAAGGAGAAAACTGTACGGAGGTGAACATGGGAGGTTTATGATTAGTCAGCCCTGAAAGTGGTGGTGGATGTCACTTCCTGTCACATTCCATGAGCCAAGACTCAGCCACATGGCCCTGTATGAGTAGTAGAAACACACCAGTCAGTTTGGTAACTTAGAACTTGTCTCGTTTGTAGAGTTCATTATGTGAGAGTAATCCACACGCTCCATCGGCTCCTGTTCCTGTGACAACCCTGTGGCCCTGTCATTATGATTTAATCCTGCGGCACAGGTGGGGCAGTGCTAATAGGCACAGGGGCCGTGCTGGTGGTTAGCTACCCCGCCAGCCCTGTGCTGGAGTTGGCGGGTAAGAAGCAGCCATCGGAATGCAGTGCAGCTTAGCCAGTCAGCGTGGTCTGAAGCTTCTCCGCGTGTTCATGGTGGTTCTTTGTCACGGCTTTCTCCTAAGGTTTGCATTCAGCTAAGGATATTTAGAAATCTCATCCAAACTTCTGGCAACTCACTTCTCTTTAGACTTTTGACTGATGACTTCATAAAGCCCCAGACAGTGGGGCAGCTTCCAGGGTTGGCGGCTCCATTAGTCTCCTTGTCTATTCTTGGCAAGATAAGCGATCCTAGACAAATGGAAAGGCGGCTTGTCTGAGCCGCGGGAGCCTTACGTTTCTCAGGGTTATGTATATCACTTAACTTTTCGCTCTGCCTTTCCCAGCTCAAGCTTCCGACCTTGTTCAGATGCCATGTTCTACTTACGTAATTATTTGAAGTGATGTTGGCATCTCTGTTTAATTTCTAATTCCTTGTTTTGATTTTCGCTCCCCCGGATATCATTTATTTTTACCAGGCTATTTGTGATTCCTTCAATGCCGGTGCCCAAAGGGCTTGATGAATTGGATCTTACTTAGCATTAGGCCGAAAATAGTCGGGGGAAACAGAGGGATCACAGAAGGTGGGGAGCGTGCCGCAATGTAAAGCAGGCCTCCGTGAGGTATTTGGTTGTGAATGTGGAAGTAAGGGATAAAAAAACCCCACAGGTCACATGGGGAAAGGACAAAGGAGTGGACATTTCTCAGTGGCTGGCGGAACAGGGCGGTCACTGAAGGAAGGGCCGGGAAACAATTCCGGTGCTCTATGCTTGACATACGCGAGGGGAGAAATTGGGGTGATGGTTTGTATTTTTCAGGGAAAAACAAAGAACTTCTTTTAACCCTGTCTGGGCTAATTTTTCACAATCTAAGAGCTGAAAGGAGATGTCAGAATGCAGACTAGAGCTGCAGCACTCCTTATCTTCCATGGAAGGATTATCAAATCAAATACAAAGGGCGTGTGTGTGTGTGTGTGTGTGTCTAGGGGCAGAGGGTCCATTTCTGCTTTCAGACCCCGCAGGGTCCATGGTCCATAGTGGCTGAAGGTTACGAGATTAGAGGGTCTGTGTACCCTGAGAATAGTCAAAGCCATGAGGGAAATGAGGTGACCTGGAGAAAGAAGGTGACGCGTCTAGCGCAGAACCAGCGTGGAGTGAGGCATTGTGGGTGCTTCGCTCGACAGTGAAGGCTGAGCGCCAAGCTTTAAATGTTCAGATGGGAAATCAGGGCCCCACACTGTGGGATCTGGGAGAGCATTTATCTCCGTGTCAAAGCATATGAAGTAGAAAAATGAAATCATAGGCTCACATTCCACAAACCTAGCCTTGTATTTTTCAAACTAATGTTCTTGAAGAACGCAGTCTGGCAATAGCATTTGGCTTTGATTTTCTGCTCTGCTCAAGCTAACCTTTTGTTCTACCTAAGACACCTCTAGCCATCACCCAATACAAGCCTAGGCTACTATCCAAAGGCACAATAAATAACGATATTTCTGCTTTTGCAAAGGCACTAACATCAATTTGTGTTCCTGCTAGCAAAACTGCCGAGTTCCTAAGCAGACTGGAGACAGACTGGCCAAACAGAAGTACCTGTCAAATTCCTCTCCGTGGCCCACACTCGTCGACTTGGGTAAGTGGAATGCCATGCAGGGTGCTCTGGCATTTTTTAAAGAGGTGGTTGGTAAGTTAAGATTAAGGGCATAGAGTGACCTGTGCAACATAGAATATTGGAACTAAAGGCGGTTAGCCTGATCTGAAACTTCAACGGCAGCTGCTGCCTCAGCCGTAAAGCAATGCTTGTACTTGTTACCTACGTTATGGGCACCTGGACTAAAGAAACATCAGCCTCAGGAAAGCCCTTGATCCCACCCAGTCATCCAACCATCTTTCCATCCCTCACATGTTTCTGTTTATATAAGGTGTACCGAGTGCATAAGTTCTGCCCGGGAGGGCCTTAGTCAAATGAAGGAGAAAAACACAGTTATAAATCAAAGCAGTGAGTGGAGAGCGTATAGCAGTTAGAAAGGTGAAAGTTTAAAAGATGAATCAGTAAAGCGAAGAGAGTCATTCCTGGTGCCAAATTAATCTAGACACAAAAGCACGAAGTAAGGTATGATGACAAGAAAAAGCATGGCCTGTGCTAGGGAAGAGGAGTTTTGTGTCGCTGCAGTCTGCAAGGGTGTAACTCTGGGGGAGCTGTGGTTTAAGGGGCTGGAGAAACAGACAAGGGAACATGTGGCGAGTGGCATCTGGGTGGGGTAGTTCACTGTGCGGACTGTCCTGGGCACTACAGGATGTTCAGTGTTCCTGACCCTTGGGCACTAGATGCCAGTAGCATCCCCCAGACATTGAGACACTCACAAATGCCCGCCCCCCATGGCGGGAAGCTGGTGGGGCTCCTGGTAAACACCACTGCAGAAACCTGTGTGTCACGTGGGAGAACGTGGGCCTCATTCTGTGAGGACTGAAGGTCCTGCAAAGTGTTAAACAGGGAAGGGTCAGGGTCAGGGTCAGGCTTGTACTTAGCTGGGCTACACTGGTGACCATGCAGAGGAGGGATTAAAGGAACAGTGAGGCAGAGAGGCCTCTCAGATGCTTCTGTGTTAGTCTAGGTGAGCAGCAATGAAGACTTGAAGTAGGGTGGTGGGTGACAGGACGGAGATGACAGTGCAGGTCAGAGAAGAGCCCAGATGGTGAAGCTGGCGGGGCTTGGTTAAGGACTGGCTAACTGGGGACAGCAAAGTCAGGGTAAGCAGGGGTGACTCTGGGAAAGGATTGTAGTTCAAAGAAAAGATGGGTGCAAGTTTCAAAAAGCCTTAGCGTTGCCGGGGTTTGGGTAAGTAAATGGTAGATTGTTGGAGAAACCTGATCTTCGCCTTCCCCCAGCCCCTCCCTCCCGCCCCCTTTTCTCTTTAGTGGCCACATTTTAAAGTGTCAGGAAGACATTATGACACTTTTTGGGAAAAGGTCATTTTACTCTTACCTACAAACCTTTAAGTATTTTTCTTTCTTCTTTTTTTTGTTTTTCTTCTCGATGCTCATGTGATGTTCCAAAGTCTAAATTGGCCAGTGTGGGCTCCTCAAATCACATCAAATCTGTCCCCTCCATCCCCTCATTGCAGGGCTCTGGGGAAAGGAGTTAAGCAGCTGTGGGTAGTAGAGTTAAATCATGTGTGGGGACAGTCCTGGACATCTGTCCAGATGCCCTGTGGCGGGGAGCACAGGAGTGTGACAGCCTCACCAGCTGGGTATTTGGCCGCCAGAATGGCCTCGATTTCTGGTTCAGGGCTCCTGGCACCTCTGGTGTGAAGCACCTGGCAGAACTGTGTGTGCTTGTTCTGTTGATTGTGGCTCGATTCTTCAATCTAACAAGATCATCCTGAATTTGAATACTGTCATCCAAAGCATTAGTAATGTCTCCCAGAGCTGCTGTTTTTTTTTGCGGATTGATGAGTGCCTGAGTCACACAATCATCAGGGTTATTAATAGAAAGTGTGGAGTGGGATTGGACCCAGGATGGTTCCTTATGAACTGCATTCAAGAGCTGCTACCATTCTGACACCAAACTATTAATAATTCGTTGGTGTTCGATATATTTAATGGACTTTTTACTCATATGATCCTCTTCTCATTCTGTCTAATCCATATGCATAGACTTCCTCTGAGAATGCTTTGCAGAACCATTTCTAATGCTTTAGGAAAAGCCAGTGCATACGTTGCACTTTTGCAGAGTTATGACACCTGCAGTTTGCTTTTGCTATGGTCAGTGTAGAGGACGTGACTACTGCGTGGTAGCCATCTAAATGGGGTATGTTGAGCTGCAAGGTCGCAAGTATTTTTAAGAGACAACTTTAATTTTACTACATAATGCACTTTTTTCCTGAGAACATTGTTTTCTTATACTTATTGAAATGTGGATCTGCCACGGGCAGGTAGGAATTTAATAAATACAGGGTAATTATGTCAATGAAAAAATCTATGAGAAAATTCTTTTAGGTATCACACAGGAGAACTTCAAACAAAAGATACTTACGGTGTTCATTTACACACGATTGATATAGTTATCGTGTGTGTGTGTGTGTGTGAGTGTGTGAGTGTGTGTGTGTGAGTGTGAGTGTGAGTGTGTGTGTGTGAGTGTGAGTGTGTGTGTGAGTGTGTGTGTGTGTGAGTGTGAGTGTGAGTGTGTGTGTGAGTGTGTGAGTGTGTGTGTGTGTGTGAGTGTGTGTGTGTGTGAGTGTGAGTGTGAGTGTGCGTGTGAGTGTGTGTGTGTGAGTGTGAGTGTGTGTGTATGACTGTGTGTGTGTGAGTGTGTGTGTGAGTGTGTGTGCTGGCAGCAGTACCAGCATCATTATACCTTCCCCAGTTATTATCGAATTCCCAGTTGCACACTAAATGGTTTCTAGTCTCCGGTTTGCTGCCCCCTGCTTCTTCCTCTTCTGCATAGAATAATAATTTGTAAACTCTCATCCTCTTGTTCCACAGCCCAGTGGCCCCTATATCTTCAAGGATAAAGTCAAAATACCTTAGCTTGAGCACAAAGCCCTTTCTGCTCTCTGTCCACCCCCTAGCCCCGCCCCAAGTGACCACCCTATAGTCCTAAAGTCTAGGTCTTTGCCACTCCATGGACATCACCTGGGAACTTATAGAAATGTAGACTAATCTCAGACACCCTCCAGACCTAAACCAGAACCTGCGTTTTAACACTGTCCGTGGGTGATGTGTGTGCACATTAATGTTTGAGGAGCACTTCCCCATCATGTATGCCTTCATGGCCATAGCTTCGCACTTTTACTACATTAAACACTTAGTTTGGTTATCTTAATTGTTATCTGTGTGTCACATGTTCTGTCAAAAGTCAACACTTAAATACATACGAGGCCTGACAATTAAGTTTGCGAACTTGTTGCAACGATGTTGCTAACCTTTTTTGATATCAGGGATTATTCATTAAGAATTTGTACCAACTGGACAAACAGTTAACCAAGTTTACTATTTGGAAGTGCTGAAAAGGCTGGGTGACAAAGTTAGACGACCTGAACTTTTTTCCAACAATTCATGGGTCTTGCATCACAACAGTGTACCAGCTCACACGGCACTGTCTGTGAGGGAGTTTTTAGCCAGTCAACAAATAACTGTATTGAAACACCCTTCCTACTCACCTGATATGGCCCCCAATGACTTCTTTCTTTCCCCAAAGATAAAGGAAATATTGAAGGAAGACATTTTGATGACATTCAGGACATCAAGGGTAACAGAACAACAGCTCTGATGGCCATTTCAGAAAAAGAGTTCCAATATTGCTTTGAAGGGTGCACTAGGTGCTGGTGTTGGTGCATAGATTCCTAAGGGGCGTACTTTGGAGGTGACCATAGCAATATTCAGCAATGAGTTATGGGGCCCTTTTTCTAGGATGAGTTCACGAACTTAATTGTCTGACCGTATGTCCCCTGTACACCTTCAATCCCACTTCCACTCTGATACTTTAAACTCCTTGTATCAATTTCTCATCGCTTATAGAATAAGTCATGGGGATTTAATGTGTGGCATGGTGACTACAGGTAATACCGTATTGCATATTTGACAGTTTCTAAGAGATCTTAAAACTTCACATCACAAGAAGTTTTATAACTATGTATGGTGACAGATGTTAACTAGAATTACTGTGGTGAGCATTTTACAATATATACAAATATCGAATCATTACATTGTACACCTGAAACTAATATTATGTTATATATCAGTTATACCTCAATAAAATAAATTTCCCTTTGCTACTGTAACAAATTACTGCAAACTTAGGGGCTGAAAACAACTCAAATTTGTTCTGACAGTTCTGGAATCACAAGTCAGAAATGAGTATGAAGGGGCTGAAGTTGGGGTGTCAGCAGGGCTGGTTCCTCCTAGAGGCCCTAGTGGGGGAGTCTGTTCCTTGCCTCTTCCAGCTCCTCCCATCACCTTTGGCTCCTTGGCACGTGGTTGCATCACTCTGACCTCTGCTTTCGTCCTCATCCCTTCTTCTCCAGCTCTCTGACTTTGCATAAAGACCCTTGTGAGTACATTGGGCCCACCTGGGTCATCCAGCATCATTTCCCCACCTCAAATCCTAATTTCTGCGAAATCCCTTTTGCCATATAAGGTAACATCACAGCTTCTTAGGGACAAGGATGTGGAGGGGGCCATTATTCATCCCACCAGTCTCCCCTAGCTGTGTCTTTTGTTATTTGGCTCCACATATCTGTTAATCTGTATATTGCTATCTCTTGATTAATCAGTTTTAGATCTTATTAATTTCTTCCCCCTATTCTCCTAATATAACTATTCAGTATTTCAGGCTTTTCTTTATTATGACTATGTAAATATTTTCTCACTGCCAAGCCAGTTGGCATACTCTCCATTTTCTTTCTTTCACATTTTCTTTAAACTTTCATTTTCTTTTTGCATTTTTTTGGTTTCCTTTGAACATTTGACTGACTTCCTTCCGGTTTTGGGACTGTTTACAGAGTGCCTCTTGATGCAAATTCCCACTCACTTTTCCATTTCGTGCCTGTCAGATAAGTTGTCAATTCCAGGTTTCTTTTCCTCTTAGAAATGTCCCTCTGCATCCCTCTTGCCTCCTGCTTTAACCTGGTT